TTAGTGGCTGTTGCTGACTGTTACTGGCGGTTACTGACTGTTAGTGGCTGATACTGACTTAGTGGCTATTACTGGCTGTTACTGGCTGTTAGTGGCTGTTGCTGACTGTTACTGTTACTGGCTATTACTGGCTGTTACTGACTGTTAGTGGCTGTTACTGACTGTTAGTGGCTATTAATGGCTGTTACTGACTGTTACTGACTGTTACTGGCTGTTACTGACTGTTAGTGGCTGTTACTGACTGTTAGTGGCTGTTGCTGACTGTTACTGGCGGTTACTGACTGTTAGTGGCTGATACTGACTTAGTGGCTATTACTGGCTGTTAGTGGCTGTTGCTGACTGTTACTGTTACTGGCTATTACTGGCTGTTACTGACTGTTAGTGGCTGTTACTGACTGTTAGTGGCTGTTGCTGACTGTTACTGGCGGTTACTGACTGTTAGTGGCTGATACTGACTTAGTGGCTATTACTGGCTGTTACTGACTGTTAGTGGCTTTTGCTGACTGTTACTGACTGTTAGTGGCTATTACTGGCTGTTACTGACTGTTAGTGGCTATTAATGGCTGTTACTGGCTATTACTGGCTGTTACTGACTGTTAGTGGCTGTTACTGACTGTTAGTGGCTGTTGCTGACTGTTACTGGCGGTTACTGACTGTTAGTGGCTGATACTGACTTAGTGGCTATTACTGGCTGTTACTGGCTATTACTGGCTGTTATTGGCTGTTACTGACTGTTACTGGCGGTTACTGACTGTTAGTGGCTATTACTGGCTGTTACTGGCTATTACTGGCTGTTATTGGCTGTTACTGACTGTTAGTGGCTGTTGCTGACTGTTACTGACTTTTACCGGCTGTTACTGACTGTTAGTGGCTATTAATGGCTGTTACTGGCTATTACTGGCTGTTACTGACTGTTAGTGGCTGTTACTGACTGTAAGTGGCTGTTGCTGACTGTTACTGGCGGTTACTGACTGTTAGTGGCTGATACTGACTTAGTGGCTATTACTGGCTGTTACTGACTGTTAGTGGCTGTTGCTGACTGTTACTGACTGTTACCGGCTGTTACTGACTGTTAGTGGCTATTACTGGCTGTTACTGACTGTTAGTGGCTATTAATGGCTGTTACTGGCTATTACTGGCTGTTACTGACTGTTAGTGGTTGTTACTGACTGTTAGTGGCTGTTGCTGACTGTTACTGGCGGTTACTGACTGTTAGTGGCTGATACTGACTTAGTGGCTATTACTGGCTGTTATTGGCTATTACTGGCTGTTATTGGCTGTTACTGACTGTTACTGGCTGTTGCTGACTGTTACTGACTTTTACTGGCTGTTACTGACTGTTAGTGGCTGATACTGACTTAGTGGCTATTACTGGCTATTACTGGCTGTTATTGGCTGTTACTGACTGTTACTGGCGGTTACTGACTGTTAGTGGCTATTACTGGCTGTTACTGACTATTACTGACTGTTAGTGGCTGTTGCTGACTGTTACTGACATTTACCGGCTGTTACTGACTGTTAGTGACTGTTACTGGCCATTACTGGCTGTTACTGACTGTTACTGGCCATTACTGGCTGTTACTGACTGTTAGTGGCCGTTACTGGCGGTTACTGACTGTTTGTGTCTGTTACTGAGTGTTACTGACTGTTAGTGGCTGTTACTGGCGGTTACTGACTGTTTGTGGCTGTTACTGAGTGTTACTGTGGGGGGTACTCTGGGAGAATGGAGTACCGGGCCCTTTAATAGGGGCTGTTAGGTCTCTGAGTGACCGGTGTCAGGGTGTAACGCTAGGGCTTGACTGACTAAATGAGGCTAAATGAGGCCCGAAGTAGATTCGAGTACAGAGTCCAGAGGTGTAAATAAAGCACAACAAAAGAATTATGATTAATATTTGTATATTTATTGTTCTAATAGAAAGATTATTGGTTACATATACATGTTAATGAGCTTTATTATATGATTTATATGGATATGAATTGATATAATACACACACACACAAATTAGATGATCAATCAAAATAATTTCAAAGGAGAAAAAAAACTAATATATTCCAACAGGATAATTCAAAAGGGAAAAAACAAAGACCAAAAAAAACAACAACAAATTGAAACACTTCAGTTCAGTTAGTTCCAGGTTTGCAGTTCATGAGGTCCATTGGGAAACCAAATTCAGAGGATCCGGGTTTGTAAGAACTTTTTCCTACCACACTGTAGCGGTGGTTCTCTGGTAGCTCGCCACCCAGTGGACAGTCAAAGGAACAGCACACAAAAAAAAACCTGACCTGAAATCAGGCCAAAATCTTAAATTAGTAAAATAATAAACAATAAACTTAATCTTAGCAATAAAAAAATCAAACAAGGAGTCAGTTAGTTATGCCATGAATCACAATAGTTTAAATAATATACAAGATTTCTATATGAAGCGTCAATATTTCTAAATATCCCAAGGTAAAATAAAGTGCACTTATCATTTAAAGACGAAATTATGGGTCAACAAATACCCAAATTATTTCAACAGTTCAATCATAAATGTATTGCACAACACATATCAATAAACAATCAGATCTATTAAAAAAACAAAAAGGAACCATGGCTACAGGGAATGTCCCCCAGGTTAGGAGTTGTAAATCTGCAGTATCATTTAAGTTATCAGTAAGTTTGAATGAACAATAAAGCATGAGCCAATAGATGGAAACAAACTTACCGAGTTGAAAGATGGACGGATGGATGGATGAAATTACTGTGTTAATGGAGGAGAATAATATAGATTAGCCCAAAGAGCTAAATTGATGAGATACATGTAATATACTTGGATTTATGACATTGCTACGGAAATTACATTACAGGCATTTTTGTGGTGTGTCTGTTTAAAAGTGGGGAGTACCAAGATGATGGTGGGTAACATTAGTTTATCAGTAATCCAGTGAAAAAATACAGATCAGTAGATGATTCCAGCTAGAAACACTGAATGACATCAGAGGAGAACATGACAGGCTGGAGGACCAGGAACTGTGTCCTGTGAAGGAAGGAGGGAATTAAAAAGTTCTCTGTCCTTCACCTCCGCCATGTTCTGCTCCGTAGCCTCCTCTCCTCCTGTACCGCTAACATCACCAGTTTTGCTCCGCAGCCTCCTCTCCTCCTGCATTGCTAACATCACCTGTTCTGCTCCGTAGCCTCCTCTCCTCCTGTACCGCTAACATCACCTGTTCTGCTCCGCAGCCTCCTCTCCTCCTGCATTGCTAACATCACCTGTTCTGCTCCGCAGCCACCTCTCCTCCTGCATCGCTAACATCACCTGTTCTGCTCCGCAGCCTCCTCTCCTCCTGCATTGCTAACATCACCTGTTCTGCTCCGTAGCCTCCTCTCCTCCTGCACCGCTAACGTCACCTGTTCTGCTACGTAGCCTTCTCTACTTATGTACCACTAACATCACCTGTTCTGCTCCGCAGCCACCTCTCCTCCTGCATCGCTAACATCACCTGTTCTGCTCCGCAGCCTCCTCTCCTCCTGCACCGCTAACATCACCTGTTCTGCTCCGCAGCCTCCTCTCCTTCTGCATTGCTAACATCACCTGTTCTGCTCCGCAGCCTCCTCTCCACCTGCACCGCTAACATCACCTGTTCTGCTCCGCAGCCTCCTCTCCTCCTGCACCGCTAACATCACCTGTTCTGCTCTGCAGCCTCCTCTCCTCCTGCATTGCTAACATCACCTGTTCTGCTCCGTAGCCTCCTCTCCTTATGTACCACTAACATCACCTGTTCTGCTCCACAGCCTCCTCTCCTTATGTACCGCTAACATCACCTGTTCTGCTCCGTAGCCTCCTCTCCTCCTGCATCGCTAACATCACCTGTTCTGATCTGTAGCCTCCTCTCCTCCTGCATCGCTAACATCACCTGTTCTGCTACGTAGCCTCCTCTCCTTATGTACCACTAACATCACCTGTTCTGCTCCACAGCCTCCTCTCCTCATGTACTGCTAACATCACCTGTTCTGCTCCACAGCCTCCTCTCCTCCTGCATCGCTAACATCACCTGTTCTGCTCTGCAGCCTCCTCTCCTCCTGCACCGCTAACATCACCTGTTCTGCTTCGTAGCCTCCTCTCCCCCTGCACCGCTAACATCACCTGTTCTGCTCCGTAGCCTCCTCTCCTCCTGCATCGCTAACATCACCTGTTCTGCTCATCAGCCTCCTCTCCTCCTGCATCGCTAAAATCACCTGTTCTGCTCCACAGCCTCCTCTCCTCCTGCATTGCTAACATCACCTGTTCTGCTCCGTAGCCTCCTCTCCTTATGTACCACTAACATCACCTGTTCTGCTCCGCAGCCACCTCTCCTCCTGCATCGCTAACATCACCTGTTCTGCTCCGCAGCCTCCTCTCCTCCTGCATTGCTAACATCACCTGTTCTGCTCCGTAGCCTCCTCTCCTCCTGCACCGCTAACTTTACCTGTTCTGCTACGTAGCCTTCTCTCCTTATGTACCACTAACATCACCTGTTCTGCTCTGCAGCCACCTCTCCTCCTACACCGCTAACATCACCTGTTCTGCTCCGCAGCCTCCTCTCCTCCTGCACCGCTAACATCACCTGTTCTGCTCCGCAGCCTCCTCTCCTCCTGCATTGCTAACATCACCTGTTCTGCTCCGCAGCCTCCTCTCCTCCTGCACCGCTAACATCACCTGTTCTGCTCCGCAGCCTCCTCTCCTCCTGCACCGCTAACATCACCTGTTCTGCTCCGCAGCCTCCTCTCCTCCTGCATTGCTAACATCACCTGTTCTGCTCCGTAGCCTCCTCTCCTTATGTACCACTAACATCACCTTTTCTGCTCCACAGCCTCCTCTCCTTATGTACCGCTAACATCACCTGTTCTGCTCCGTAGCCTCCTCTCCTCCTGCATCGCTAACATCACCTGTTCTGATCTGTAGCCTCCTCTCCTCCTGCATCGCTAACATCACCTGTTCTGCTACGTAGCTTCCTCTCCTTATGTACCACTAACATCACCTGTTCTGCTCCACAGCCTCCTCTCCTCATGTACCGCTAACATCACCTGTTCTGCTCTGCAGCCTCCTCTCCTCCTGCACCGCTAACATCACCTGTTCTGCTCCGTAGCCTCCTCTCCCCCTGCACCGCTAACATCACCTGTTCTGCTCCGTAGCCTCCTCTCCTCCTGCATCGCTAACATCACCTGTTCTGCTCATCAGCCTCCTCTCCTCCTGCATCGCTAAAATCACCTGTTCTGCTCCACAGCCTCCTCTCCTCCTGCATCGCTGAAATCACCTGTTCTGCTCCGCAGCCTCCTCTCCTCCTGCATCGCTGAAATCACCTGTTCTGCTCCGCAGCCTCCTCTCCTCCTGCATCGCTAAAATCACCTGTTCTGCTCCGCAGCCTCCTCTCCTCCTGCATCGCTAAAATCACCTGTTCTGCTCCGCAGCCTCCTCTCCTCCTGCATCAATAGCATCACCTGGAGCCCACCATGTCTGTCCAGAACCTGTCCTTTGCTGCCTGTGGTTTCCTGGGGATCTACCACCTTGGGGCCCTGGGGGCCTTCCTGCATCATGGAGAGAAGCTGCTGGGCTCTCTGAGGGCCTGTGCAGGAGCTTCAGCTGGAGCACTGGCTGCTGCTGTCCTGATCACCGCTCCAGATAAGCTAGAGGTAAACCATTGATGTTTGCAGCAAAGATGACGTGTGACATCATCATGCCAACCAGTTAGCCCAGTAAGCTCCGTTAGCCCAGTTAACCCAGTGCAGTGGGAAGAAGCTGACAGTGTTCTTTCCTCCCTCAGCGCTGCACAGAGTTCACCTACAGCTTTGCTGAAAGCGTCAGACAGCAAAGGTTTGGAGCCGTTACTCCAGGATATGACCTGATGCTAACGCTACGGTAAGCTGCAGCGCTTCTATGGCAGGCCGTCTGGACATTTATTACATCCGCCGTCCTCACTCCTTAAACCTTCTAACGGGGTACTGAGGCTGGAAGACTGCTTCCTCCAGGTGGTACCTGACACTTCTGACAATCGCTGTCCTCCGAAAAAATCAGTCAAAGAGAATCCTGGATTGACAACGCCAAATTGTCGTGGGAAAAAAGTATTCAATTATTCATCCATGTTAAAAAACACGGAGATCAATGGATTTCACTCAGTCGGCACATTTATTCACATCTTTGCAAAGAGAGAACAGATCATCATACAGCCTTCATGGCATAGCATTCTGCTCTGTTCTGATCTGGGCAGCGTTCGTTCACGGTCACAGTCAGAGAAACAGGACTACACTGGAAAACAGGCCAAGCTCCAATATCTAGAAACAAAGGTGTTGATGGCAGCAGCACAGCTGATATTTCTCTCCAGGATGGAGTCACAGCCAAACAGGAACAGACCAGATGAAGCTACTATGAGAAAAAGCAGAGAGAGCAGAACGTTAGAGATTGAACTAACAGATTCTGCAGAGTGGGAAAATAGAGATAGAATGAAGCAGAATGATGAAAAAGGGGTCCCTATGTCCTCCAGCAGTCTAAGCCTATAGCAGCAGAACTATAGAGATAGCTCAGGATAACCTGAGCCACTCTAACTAGAAGCTTTATCAAAAAGGAAAGTTTTAAGCCTAGCCTTAAAAGTAGACAGGGTGTCTGCCTCACGGACTAAAACTGGTAGTTGGTTCCACAGGAGAGGAGCCTGAGAACTAAAAGATCTGCCTCCCATTCTACTTTTAGAAATTCTAGGAACCACTAGTAAACCTGCAGATTGAGAGTGAAGTGCTCTGTTAGGAACATAAGGAACAATCAGATCTCTGATATCAGAAAATCCATAGCTGAACTCTTTCAGCCTCTAAAGGATACAGTCTAGGTAGACCGGGTCCTTGGATGATCCAGCCTCTGGCCAATGACAGTAGAGTTTTTCTTCCTGGTTGTGGAACAAGCCGGTAACCTCTGTGAATCCTCTGCAGGGAGGGAATAGAGGAGATTCTACCCAGTGAAGCTCACCGCCTGGCCAGCGATCGACTCTATGTCTCTATCACTCACTCCAGAAGCAGGAAGAACCACCTGGTCTCCAGGTTTGCTTCCAGAGACGACCTCATAAAGGTTGGTGTCCAGAAACCTTTAGCAGTATCTGTATCTCAGCTCCTGATCAGGATGTTTAAAGGAACATTTAAACAGCATATTTGATCAATAAGCTAACGAGGCTAGAAACATGCTAGCTACGGTCTGAGCTGAACGGACGTCCTCTGCCCCCACAGGTTCTGCTGGCCAGCAGCTTTGTCCCAGTCTATGCTGGGCTCAGACCAGTGGAGTTCAGCGGTCAGGTAATCCTGCGTCTGTCCAGAAGGTTCCTGTGACATCAGCTAGGACTCACTGAGGCATTTCCTCTGAGCAGACGTGGATCGATGGAGGTTTCACCGACAGCCTGCCCAGACCCCCTGTGGGACGAACTATCACCGTCTCCCCCTTTGCAGGCCTGCAGGACGTGTGTCCGGTTCACAGGGGGCGCCTCAGCAGCCAGCTCCGCCTGGCCAACATGAACATCATGGTGAGTCCAGGAACCAGAGTCTGTTGATGCTGCTTTATGTCCACCTGTTGGTTCATCAGCCCACAGTCCTGGACATTCTGGATAGGAACTCCGAGTTCTGGACATTCTGGATAGGAATTCCGAGTTCTGGATGTTCTGGTTAGGAACTCTGAGTTCTGGACGTTCTGGATAGGAGCTCCGAGTGCTGGATGTTCTGGATAGGAACTCCGAGTTCTGGATGTTCTGGATAGGAGCTCCGAGTGCTGGATGTTCTGGATAGGAACTCCGAGTTCTGGACATTCTAGATAGGAACTCCGAGTTCTGGATGTTCTGGATAGGAGCTCCGAGTTCTGGATGTTCTGGTTAGGAACTCCGAGTTCTGGACATTCTGGATAGGAGCTCCGAGTTCTGGATGTTCTGGATAGGAGCTCCGAGTTCTGGACGTTCTGGTTAGGAAGTCCCAGTTCTGGACGTTCTGGATAGGAGCTCCGAGTGCTGGATGTTCTGGATAGGAACTCAGAGTTCTGGACGTTCTGGATAGGAACTCCGAGTTCTGGACATTCTGGATAGGAGCTCCGAGTGCTGGATGTTCTGGATAGGAACTCCGAGTTCTGGACGTTCTGGATAGGAGCTCCGAGTGCTGGATGTTCTGGATAGGAACTCCGAGTTCTGGACGTTCTAGATAGGAACTCCGAGTTCTGGACATTCTGGATAGGAGCTCCGAGTTCTGGATGTTCTGGATAGGAGCTCAGAGTTCTAGATGTTCTGGTTAGGAACTCCCAGTTCTGGACATTCTGGATAGGAGCTCCGAGTTCTGGATGTTCTGGTTAGGAACTCTGAGTTCTGGACGTTCTGGATAGGAGCTCCGAGTTCTGGATGTTCTGGTTAGGAACTCCGAGTTCTGGACATTCTGGATAGGAGCTCCGAGTTCTGGATGTTCTGGTTAGGAACTCCGAGTTCTGGACGTTCTGGATAGGAGCTCCGAGTTCTGGATGTTCTGGTTAGGAACTCCGAGTTCTGGACATTCTGGATAGGAGCTCCGAGTTCTGGACGTTCTGGATAGGAACCCCGAGTTCTGGATGTTCTGGTTAGGAACTCCGAGTTCTGGACGTTCTGGATAGGAACTCTGAGTTCTGGATGTTCTGGATGGGAACTCAGAGTTCTGGACATTCTTGGCTAGAACTCTGAGTTCACGATAATTTAAATCAGGACCTAGAGTTGTGGACCTTCTGGATCAGAACTTGGAGTTGTAGACATTCTTGACCAGAACTTCGGTTGTGGACCTTCTTGACCAGAACCTAGAGTTGTGGACATTCTGGAACAGAACTTGGAGTTCTGGACCTTCTTGACCAGAATGTAGAGTTATGGACATTCTGGACCAGAAGGTAGAGTGGTGTACCTTCTGGATCAGAACTTGGATTTGTAGACATTCTTGACCAGAACTTTGAGTTCTGGACCTTCTTGACCAGAATGTAGAGTTATGGACATTCTGGACCAGAATGTAGAGTAGTGTACCTTCTGGATCAAAACTTGGAGTTGTGGACAATCTGGACCAGAACTTGGAGTTCTGGACCTTCTTGACCAGAATGTAGAGTTATGGACATTCTGGGCCAGAACGTAGAGTGGTATACCTTCTGGATCAGAACTTGGAGTTGTAGACATTCTTGACCAGAACTTTGAGTTCTGGACCTTCTTGACCAGACACAGAGTTCTGGACCTTGTTGACCAGAACGTAGAGTTCTGGCCATTCGGGAGCACAGCTTGGAGTTCTAGACGTTCTGGAGCAGAACTCTGAGCTCCTGTTTGGGTCGATCAGAGAGTCCAGACGATAAAGGGGCGGCGTGTGGAGCAGCCTGGGTGGCAATCAGCTGATCAGAGGGAGAGAATCAAACATCAAACTCTGCTCACACAATAAACTCTCAGCAGCTTCAGCATTTAGAGGGTTCAAAGGTCAACATACTTCCTGCTGGTCTTCCTCAGTTCATTTTCTCCATCCTGGTCCTTCCATCTTAGTTTAACACCAGTTTAACGTCTCAGCTGTTTTCCTGTTGGTGTCTGACGCTGCCTTGCTCAAAGGTCACTGAAACTAAGGATATCACCTGTTTCCTCTCTGCAGTTTTCAATGGAGAACATCAAACGTCTGAACCAGGCCCTGTTCCCTCCGTCCCGCAGCACCATGCAGGCTCTGTGTGAGGAGGGCCACTCAGACGCCGTGAGATTCCTGAAGAGAGAGGCCCTGATGAGCTGAGGGCCACACCCTGGATCAGAACCCTGAGCTGAAGGCCGCACCCTGGATCAGAACCCTTCACCTCCTGGATGAAGAAATGGACAGAGGCCCTGATGAACTGTCCCCATGGGACAGGTGTCCTTGGTGGACTGATGTCCTCCATGGACCAACATCTCCAGTTGTCTGACATCCTCAGTGAAGCGATGTCCTCGGTGAACTGGCTTAAGAGATGTTAAACTTATTTATGACTCACTTTACAGGAGCCCTACAGTCTGAAAAAGATTCAATATAAATACTAAAATTGCAGAGAAATGATCAAATGATCAGATTATATAATCTGATTAGTTTTTCTCATAGTGCCAAAATAGAAGATCTTTGCTGCTTTTTATGAATGAATTTGAAGCACTGGGTTTGTAAACTCAGAGTTTCTAACTGTCCTTTGACAGCCGGACCCTTTGGAACCCTGGCTGCAGGTTTTAATCCTTCCTTTTCAGGAGATGGTCTTTCCATGTGGTCTACATCCGTGTTTTAGACCTTAGGTGTAGGTCAATCTGAAGGGGAGCAGGAGCCGTTTCTATGGACCAGTGGGTCTAATGGCGGGTCCCATCTGAAAGCTCAGTCCAACAACCAGAATAATGGGGGCAAAGTTCGCTCGAAAAAAGATTTCTGGAAAAAAAAAATCAATAAACACAAAATGAAAGAAAACATTTTAATTTAATGACTTTTTGCAAACATTAGTTTGAGGTTTATCTGATGAAATAGATGTGTTAAATGATTGTTTTATCTTTAAAAATGTTAATTGGTGACCTATCACCCGTACAGGTTCCATGGCTTCAATCTGCAGAGGTTAAATTACCAGATTTAACAACAACTGCACTATTTTCATTTGAGGAACAGCTCCTTACACAAGGTGATAACTGTCACTCAGAGGTGTGTGGACAGCTCCTCCCTGTTCATCACTTCTATTCTAAGGCCCGGCTCTCAGTGCTACAGGCCTCCCTATTGGCTGCAAATAGAACAATAATCCATAATAATCCATTCCATCCCCTAAATAAGTTAATCACTTTTTTTTTTATTTATTTTTTTCAAAGGAAAAGTCTAGTTAGTGAGGAATCACCAATGGGACATTATTTATACCTAAAACTGATACGTTTGTGTTAATCAGTAAAAACACTCCTGCCATCTTCCAGCAGTGATGTCACGGTGCGGTAAGCCTAGCGCCATTCTCCCCGCTTTACAAGCAAAATCATTGGGAACTACTAGACACATCTGCAATCAACAACAATTATTGAAGATTTCCAGAGGACTTCACCATTGAAAGTCACCAGAGCTATAGTGACAATGCCCACGTGCATGGCAGCTGGATGCTGGAATACATCGGGTAAAAGGGAAAAAAAAGAGACTTATTTCACCTTTTCACATACTACTTAGCCTGAAAGAACACCACTACTAAGCTAATAGTTGGTCTAAAAGAACACAGCTACTGAGCTACTAGTTATTCTGAAAGAACACTGCTACTGAGCTACAAGTAAGTCTGAAAGAACACCGCTACTAAACTACTAGTTGGTCTGAAAGAACACTGCTACTGAGCTACTAGTAAGTCTGAAAGAACACCGCTACTAAACTACTAGTTAGTCTGAAAGAACACCGCTACTAAGCTACTAGTTGGTCTGAAAGAACACCGCTACTAAGCTACTAGTTGGTCTGAAAGAACACTACAACTGAGCTAGTAGTCAGCCAATAACGAAGACTGCTACTGAGCTACTAGTTGGTCCGAAAGAACACTGCTGCTGAGCTACTAGTTATTCTGAAAGAACACTGCTACTGAGCTACTAGTAAGTCTGAAAGAACACCGCTACTAAACTACTAGTTGGTCTGAAAGAACACTGCTACTGAGCTACTAGTAAGTCTGAAAGAACACCGCTACTAAACTACTAGTTAGTCTGAAAGAACACCGCTACTAAGCTACTAGTTGGTCTGAAAGAACACTGCTACTGAGCTACTAGTTGGTCTGAAAGAACACCGCTACTAAACTACTAGTTAGTCTGAAAGAACACTGCTACTAAGCTACTAGTTGGTCTGAAAGAACACTACAACTGAGCTAGTAGTCAGCCAATAACAAAGACCGCTACTGAGATCCTAGTTAGCCTATGGGAACACTGCTACTGAGCTGCTAGTTAGCCTAAAATAACACTGCTACTGAGCTACTACTTGGCCTGACAGAACACTACTACTGAGCTACTAGTTGGCCGGAAAGAACACTGCTACTAAGCTACTAGTTGGTCTGAAAGAACACTGCTACTGAGCTACTAGTAAGTCTGAAAGAACACCGCTACTAAACTACTAGTTAGTCTGAAAGAACACCGCTACTAAGCTACTAGTTGGTCTGAAAGAACACTACAACTGAGCTAGTAGTCAGCCAATAACAAAGACCGCTACTGAGATCCTAGTTAGCCTATGGGAACACTGCTACTGAGCTACTAGTTAGCCTAAAATAACACTGCTACTGAGCTACTACTTGGCCTGACAGAACACTACTACTGAGCTACTAGTTGGCCTGAAAGAACACTGCTACTGAGCTACTAGTCGGTCTGAAAGAACACTGCTACTGAGCTACTAGTTGCTCTGAAAGAACACTGCTACTGAGTTACTAGTCGGTCTGAAAGAACACTGCTACTGAGCTACTAGTCGGTCTGAAAGAACACAGCTACTGAGCTACTAGTCGGTCTGAAAGAACACTACTACTGAGCTACTAGTTGGTCTGAAAGAACACTGCTACTGAGCTACTAGTCGGTCTGAAAGAACACAGCTACTGAGCTACTAGTTGGTCTGAAAGAACACAGCTACTGAGCTACTAGTTGGTCTGAAAGAACACTGCTACTGAGCTACTAGTTGGTCTGAAAGAACACAGCTACTGAGCTACTAGTTGGTCTGAAAGAACACTGCTACTGAGCTACTAGTCGGTCTGAAAGAACACAGCTACTGAGCTACTAGTTGGTCTGAAAGAACACTGCTACTGAGCTACTAGTCGCTCTGAAAGAACACTGCTACTGAGCTACTAGTTGGTCTGAAAGAACACTGCTACTGAGCTACTAGTTGGTCTGAAAGAACACTGCTACTGAGCTACTAGTTAGCCTAAAATAACACTGCTACTGAGCTACTAGTCGGTCTGAAAGAACACTGCTACTGAGCTACTAGTTGGTCTGAAAGAACACTGCTACTGAGCTACTAGTCGGTCTGAAAGAACACAGCTACTGAGCTACTAGTTGGTCTGAAAGAACACAGCTACTGAGCTACTAGTTGGTCTGAAAGAACACTGCTACTGAGCTACTAGTTGGTCTGAAAGAACACAGCTACTGAGCTACTAGTTGGTCTGAAAGAACACTGCTACTGAGCTACTAGTCGGTCTGAAAGAACACAGCTACTGAGCTACTAGTTGGTCTGAAAGAACACTGCTACTGAGCTACTAGTCGCTCTGAAAGAACACTGCTACTGAGCTACTAGTTGGTCTGAAAAGAACACTGCTACTGAGCTACTAGTTGGTCTGAAAGAACACTGCTACTGAGCTACTAGTTAGCCTAAAATAACACTGCTACTGAGCTACTAGTCGGTCTGAAAGAACACTGCTACTGAGCTACTAGTCGGTCTGAAAGAACACTGCTGCTGAGCTACTAGTTGGTCTGAAAGAACACTGCTACTGAGCTACTAGTCGGTCTGAAAGAACACTGCCACTGAGCTACTAGTTGGTCTGAAAGAACACTGCTACTGAGCTACTAGTCGGTCTGAAAGAACACAGCTACTGAGCTACTAGTTGGTCTGAAAGAACACTACAACTGAGCTAGTAGTCAGCCAATAACAAAGACCGCTACTGAGATCCTAGTTAGCCTATAGGAACACTGCTACTGAGCTACTAGTTAGCCTAAAATAACACTGCTACTGAGCTACTCGTCGGTCTGAAAGAACACTGCTACTGAGGTACTATAGGAACACTGCTACTGAGCTACTAGTTAGCCTAAAATAACACTGCTACTGAGCTACTCGTCGGTCTGAAAGAACACTGCTACTGAGGTACTAGTTGGTCTGAAAGAACACTGCTACTGAGCTACTAGTTGGTCTGAAAGAACACTGCTACTGAGCTACTAGTCGGTCTGAAAGAACACTGCTACTGAGCTACTAGTCGGTCTGAAAGAACACTGCTACTGAGCTACTAGTTGGTCTGAAAGAACACTGCTACTGAGCTACTAGTTGGTCTGAAAGAACACTGCTACTGAGCTACTAGTCGGTCTGAAAGAACACTGCTACTGAGCTACTAGTTGGTCTGAAAGAACACTGCTACTGAGCTACTAGTCGGTCTGAAAGAACACTGCTACTGAGCTACTAGTCGGTCTGAAAGAACACTGCTACTGTGGTACTAGTTGGTCTGAAAGAACACTGCTACTGAGCTACTAGTCGGTCTGAAAGAACACTGCTACTGAGCTACTAGTTGGTCTGAAAGAACACTGCTACTGAGCTACTAGTTTGGTCTGAAAGAACACTACAATGAGCTGTAGTAGCATAGTCGCTGAGATCCTAGTAGGCTAGGAACACTAGCTATCTGAGCTACTAGTTTGCCTAAATAACACGGCTCTGAGCTATCTAGTAGGTCCTGAAAGAAACACTGCTACTGAGGCTACTAGTTAGGTCCTGAAAAGAACACTGCTACTGAGCTACTAGTTGGTCTGAAAGGACACTGCTATTGAGCTACTAGTTAGCCTGAAAGAACACTGCTACTGAGCTACTAGTTAGCCTATAGGAACACTACTACTGAGCAACTAGTTAGCCTGAAAGAACACTGCTACTGAGCTACTAGTTAGCATAAAAGAACACTACTACTGAGCTACTAGTTAGCCTGAAAGAACACTACTATTGAGCTACTAGTTAGCCTGAAAGAACACTACTATTGAGCTACTAGTTTGCCTGAAAGAACACAGCTACTGAGCTACTAGTTCGGTCTGAAAGAACACTGCTACTGAGCTACTAGTCGGTCTGAAAGAACACTGCTACTGAGCTACTTGTTGGTCTGAAAGAACACTGCTGCTGAGCTACTAGTTAGCATAAAAGAACACTACTACTGAGCTACTAGTTAGCCTGAAAGAACACTACTATTGAGCTACTAGTTAGCCTGAAAGAACACTACTATTGAGCTACTAGTTGGTCTGAAAGAACACAGCTACTGAGCTACTAGTCGGTCTGAAAGAACACTGCTACTGAGCTACTAGTTGCTCTGAAAGAACACAGCTACTGAGCTACTAGTTGGTCTGAAAGAACACAGCTACTGAGCTACTAGTTGGTCTGAAAGAACACTGCTACTGAGCTACTAGTCGGTCTGAAAGAACACTGCTACTGAGCTACTAGTTGGTCTGAAAGAACACTGCTACTGAGCTACTAGTTGGTCTGAAAGAACACAGCTACTGAGCTACTAGTCGGTCTGAAAGAACACCGCTACTAAACTACTAGTCGGTCTGAAAGAACACTGCTACTGAGCTACTAGTTGGTCTGAAAGAACACTGCTACTGAGCTACTAGTTGGTCTGAAAGAACACAGCTACTGAGCTACTAGTTGGTCTGAAAGAACACTGCTACTGAGCTACTAGTTGGTCTGAAAGAACACTGCTACTGAGCTACTAGTCGGTCTGAAAGAACACTGCTACTGAGCTACTAGTTGGTCT